TGACCCCAGGATGGTTTAGTGTCCGAGGGGGAGGTGGTCTCAGTGAAGCGGGCATCGGTATTCGCTGTTCCGTTATCTGCTCCAGAGCACAGGCGGTTTGGGGGGTCCAGATGGCGTTTATCGCCCGCGTGTCTCCACGCTGTGGACGCCGTCGGCATGCCGTGCAGCCAGGCAGCTATTTATCAGAGCCGGGGGTGACAGCGAATCAGCTTTGGCGGGTGGAATGGCCGTTCACTGTCTCTGACTACTGTGTAAATATCCGGGTTTTAAATAGCTGACAGCTCCTCTTCCCTCAACCAGCCCCTACCCCCCCCGCCGCTTCCTGTCTGGCTGCGTACCAACAAGACACGGATTATAAATAGGATGTGTTCCTCAGAGACTTTGTCCATCCACTCCCCTTTTCTGCTTCCTGCTGTGCTCTGAGAAACATGGCGTCATCTTCATGGAGGTGTTTTGAACGTTTACGTGCCTCCGAGCGTGTCGGTTTGCGTCAGGGGCCGCGTTCCTGCACGCAGGCATTGTGTGCGCGCTTGTGCGCGCTGAACCTGCCCGTCCCGGTCATCCTCCGGATGGGTGTGACTTTCACAAACCCGGTGTCCTGGTGAGAGGCCTGGGTAGTTATGTTTACCCACACAGATGCTGAATTGCGGCACCGGCCGGTGATCGTGGTCGTCTCCTTCCTGATGTGCAACACCGTTCGTTGGGTCTGCCTGAACCTCCTTACATGCTCATTCTCCTCTGCAGCAAAATTGAAATGGCGGAATATTTTTTTGGTGATGATAGGAATGTGGCCAATCTATCTGACATGCCAAACTCAACCATTATCTTTAGTGTTTTCTCTGTCTAAATGTTGCTGATTTCTGGATATAAGATTAGGCGTATAGGGAGCTTTGGTGTACATGTGATGCAAGATAATTATGACAAATAAACGAGGAAAGTGCTATAATCGCAGTATATGGCAACCAGTCTGCTTGGTGCTGTTCCCATAGCAGCACCCACCCACCTGACCACAGCAGCCTGGCCCCCAGCCAATCACAAGGCCAAGAGAGGTGATGACAGTAGTGCAGATGAGACATTTGTAACCCTGTCCTCTTGGGGAGTGTGATGCTAATGAAGAGAGACATTCAGCCAACAGGTAGACGGCCAGCCAGACAAAAAAAAACAGACAGACAGACAACCAGACAGACAACCAGACAGACAACCAGACAGAAAGACACAGACAGACAACCAGACAGACAGACACAGGCAACCAGACAGACAGACAGACAGCCAGACAAAAAAAACAGACAGACAGACAGACACAGACCCTTCCACCCATTTTCCTTACTCCCCAGCCTACACATAATGTACTTAATCATAAGTAGTTGTGTTGGGCATCGTGGACAATCTTGTCTATGTTTAACTGCTTTTGTCACATGGCCTTTGTCACAGCTGGGGTTTGGGAAGGAGACACTGCAGTGACAGTAGGCAGGAAGGACCCTCACAGCCAAGGGAGCCCTTGGCTCTGGTGCTATTATTTGGGCTAAGTAGCGGATGAGAGGAGTAACCATCAGTGAGGTTTACAAGGAAGTTAATCAGCTAAGTGGAGAAGGCGAGAGCAGAAACTGAAGCGCGTCGCTCATTTCCCCTGCGAGGCTGAGTGGAATAACAGAGGTGCTGCTGACTGGATTTATGAGGCCTTAGAGTGGCAAGGATGAAGCGGAAACAGGGGTGGGCCGGTGCCAGACCCGAAGGCGTCCGTCCTGGATGTTATTCTGCCATGAGGACCTGGACTCACCCACCTGAGAGATATAATCAGGAAGTATTTGGGCACTCTGTGAGAAACAGCGCCCGCTCCTTTCTTGGCTGGAGAAAGACCTGCGAAAAAAGCAAACATTGTCTGCGACGGGCCCCTGTGGGGTGGAACGCTTGGCCCCTGAGGGCCCCATCCTGCAGCTCCCTCTGGACCTACATGCCAGAATAGCAGAATGAACTTTTGCTTCCTCCCCTTCTGCTGCTTCCTGTCCTTCACACTCTTTTAGCCTTTTTGCTTTGTTTTTTACCCTGGAGTCACATTCTTACATCTCTTATCCTTTAAACGCAATAATAATTAGAAACACAGTTTGCCACTGCATATGGTTAGAGAACAGGGTTAAGTCTGAAACGTGGAACGGACTGGTTCTGTTGCCTTACAGCGGTCACACATCACAGCTTGACAGACACGAATCTTCACATTTGTGCCACTGTTGCTGACATTTTATTTTTACTGATGTTTTACTCTTTTTTTTTTACTCTAAGGACACTCTGCAGCAGTACAGGGCATATGAGGTTTGTGGGAGGAAATGTGAGTTGAAATCTTGGAACAGGAACTTGTAGACTTGGATGCTGAAGGCTGCTTTTGAATTTTGCTCATTGTGGTGCTTTGGATGAAGCTGATGTGCTGTTTGCTGATTGGACAGACAGGGTCAGGGGGACGCAGTCTATGCGGTCATACTTTCGGTGCTGCTGGGTATTTCAGTGGCATTTCCAGAATGCTGTGGATTGGAGCAGCGGACACATCGATAACACGAGATTCGCAGACACACCCCTGTGAGGTTGGACCCAGTGTAATTCACCTTGTAATGTTCTGGAAACAGTCCGAGGGGTGCAGCTCAAGCTACAGGTGGACATCTCACATCGAAGATCAATGGACCTTGTATATTTTACCGCTCTTCTGTGCTGTGAAAAATGCTCCTGGTTGACTGGAGTATCTTCCCTAAAGATTGTAATCAGAATCAAAATCATTTATTTCTTTGACATACGAAGAATTTACTTTAGGGTTTCTTGCAAGACAAGCATGAATTATCAACATATTAATCATATTCAAAAAAAAAAATATGCTGGTCATAATGATACCTGCCCCCATATTAATCATATTCATAAAAAAAATATTCTTAAGATCACCCCAAAGCTGGTTACCCGCCCCCTATGCATCCTCAGAGCGTCTCGGGACAGATGCTCCCGAGAGCTGAACAGGTGTCCGATTTCTCCTGAGTCTCCATCTTTGTGTCATCTGGAGAATGTCCATCGAGCCAGACGTGATCACGAGAAAGCGAATGAAGCATGTGGGACCCATACGGTCACACTTACGAGCGGTCGCTGTCGTTGCCCGTTCCCTCTCGACTTCTGCAGATGACTCCGATTATTTCTGCGGTACCCGTAATTACTTTCTACATTTGGAGTGTGATTTTTTGCTTCACTGAGTAGTTGAATTAGGGTGTTTCTAACTTAGAGTGCTCTCCAGGAAAAAAAAAATATATAGTCTGAATCCAAGCTTTACACATTATGTCTGTGGGTGTATAAATAGCAATATAGTTACAGCATTGAAAAACATATTACATGTGTGCTGGATACTGGCTGTCACTGGCGGGTCCCTGCACTGGGCAAGCCCTGTTAAGCATATGGGCTGCAGCCAGCTGCTCGGCCTTCTGGGAGAACCTGTGCTGGAAGCAGTGGGGGCAGTGTGCCTGATTTTTGCTTGAGCCCACCCCACACCCAATCGACTAAGCCTCCTGCCTGCCCTCAAAAATCTGTGTGAAAAGCATTCCCAGACAGAATGGCGTTCCTGCTGCTTTCCGGAACTCCGTCTGCCGTTCTGCAGCGGAGGCTTGGTCGAACATCACCATCGCTGAGCGCCACATCCCAGAGATTCTCTCCACATCCCGCTTCAGCTCTTTCTAGCTGTGTAAACAACTGCCTTTGCCCTGTTCTTGAGTCCAGAAAGTCTTCTGAGTCGTGCAGCGTTCTTAACACTGCAAGACCTGAAGAGCCCTGTTTCCCAAATCCAAAGTTCAGCCCGCTGATGTCATCCGCGGCAGCGGCAGGATGAAGAGGAGACTCCGAGCTGCCAAATGAACATTATTATTGCCCTCCTTTGCTACCGTCTAATTAAAGACAGCTAGCCAGGGCCAACCACGTTTTATTACCGAGTTTAGTCAAACACCAGACACATCCAGAGACACTTCACCAGTGAAATGCTTGAGGTTTTTGTGTTTTGTGGCTGGCTTGTTTTTTTTCTTTAGTTCTTAGCCAAGAGAAGTTTCTAGCTGCTTTTATGCAGAAGCCTTTTTGGATGTTCAAAACAACAAGGAGTCACTCCTGGCCACTTTTGAGCTTCATGTTAGTCTTGTAAAAAAGCATCTCCTGGATTAATAGAGGGATTCTCACTGCCTGTTATCTCCCTTGTTTGTTTCAAGAAGATGTGTAGGATTGGTTGCTCTGGAGACAAGTTCCTTGAGCTTGAGTTGAGGTCTGTTTTCTCATCAAGTCATGGTGATCTGTACCAGTTCTTCTGAGCAGCCTGCCTGAGTCACATGACAGTGACTGGATGCACGTCTCTCAGGGCAGCGAGAAGGGCCAGGTGGAGACAGATCGCCGTGGTGACAGGGGCCGTGTATCTCAATTGGCTGGGCTCAGTCTCCTGCGTATGTCAGCCCTGCTTTAGGGGACACTAGGATTTGTAGCCTGGAGACACAAGAAGCACAGTCAGGCTTCTGGGGGTGAAAAATGAGCCAATCGAATCATGAGTTATAATTACTATCGGTAATTAAATGCCCTCGCTCGGTGGTTCAGATTTGGTTCAGATGCCGAAAACGTTTCAGATTTGTGGCCAGACCTTCGAGGTTGGGGGGGGGGGGGTGGCGTGTGGATGTTCACTTTAGTGACAAGTAGGTAAATAGTGACTTAATTAAGCTCTTCAGAGATGGCATATTGATGTGCCCTGAGGCTGAATTCTGTGGGAGTGAGGAGCCCATTTGAATAAATAAGCAGATGCTGAGAAGCCTTTCAGGCTCTCTAGAAGAAGCCCTTTCCTCTTCCTGTCACTCTATCCTCTGTGTGATTCTCTCTCCGCTCTGATCCCCCCCCCTGTTCAGGCTCTTTGAGAATCATGGCTTCTGTACTTTGATGGCCCCACTGTGATGGCCCCCCTCCCCCAAATGAGCCTAACCCCCTCCTTCTTTCTGTCTCTGTCTCTCTTCCAGTATGGGCTACTGCATCCTGGTGGTCCACGGGCTGAACCGGCTGTGGGCTCTGGGGGGCAGGTGGGGCTCCACGGCCCTCACTGTCTCCATTCTGCTGCTGCTTCTGCTCTTCTCCTGGAAGACAGTGCAGCAGAATGAGGTGTGGCTATCCCGCGAGGCGCTCTTCAGGTGAGGGCCGAGTGTGTGTGTGTGTGTGTGTGTGCGTGCATGTGTGTGTGAGTGTATGCTTGAGTCTGCCTGTCCCGCTAGCTACATGTGGACTGTGTATATGTGATACACGTTTGCTTTTTTGTGAGTGATGTGTGTGTTTGCTGGTGTCCGTTGCTTAGATTTGCAGTGATGGTGTAACCTCGTCCCTATGGACGGTGATTAATGGAGCCACACAGGCCTTTATCACCCGCAAGCAGCAGCGTGTCGAACACATCTGCTGGGTTCACCTTTCTCACACAGTCTTATTACTTCACAAAGGGGTCTATTTCACTGGGGTCTAACCTTGAACCCGACTGCGGTAAACAGAAATTAAGGAATCCCCGATTGTCAACTCCTTTCCTCTGGAGGATGGCTGGAAGGTGCATCAGTCCCAGTAGCGTAGGCATGCTGGTTGGCTCTCTCTCTCTCTCTCCTAACTGGATGAATGACCGCCATTATACAGAGGTCAGCCTGAGGAATCGCACACAACTAATGATCTGTTTCGGCCTAGTATGAGCAACGCGTGAGGCTCTTCCCCATTTGTTAGAAGGTCACAGGGCACTGGGACGCCGTCGCGGGAACAAAGCAGGGAACAAGACGGGGAACAAGGCGGGGAACAAGGCGGGGAACAAGGCGGGGAACACCGCAGATAACACAATGAGCCTCTTTCCATGAGCACAGTGGACAAAGCAGGGGCATCAGATTCAGGGGCCCAGGACAGTGTAGGGGCCCCTGAACGTGAGAAATGATCATTTATATATTAACATATTACACCTCTGCTGTGCAGAGATTTTCCAGGGAAATCAGAATTTCTAGTTATACCCCAGTATTAAACTATACTAATTTGCTGTATTGAAAAATCTGCTTTGTGTAAGTAGTGTATAACTGTGTATCTTTAGTCAGGTTTATAATAGTAGCAACATACTCTAAATGAGCTGTATCCTGTCTGGACTCATAGTGTGTGTGTGGGGGGGGGTGGCTGATATTCCCATTAAAGTACATGTGGGGAACATAGTTTCACAGTTTCTGAATTTTATGTAATTTTTTCCCCCCGCTAAGTGCATGCGTATGGTTTTGCAGTTAATGTGTTTTTGTGACTCCCCCCCCACAGATCCGGCATCCAGACCCTGCCTCACAACGCCAAAGTGCACTACAACTACGCCAACTTCCTGAAGGACCGGGGGCGCCACCTGCAGGCCATTCATCATTACAGGAGGGCACTGGAGTGAGTCTGTCGGCCTCTGCCTTATGCTGTCGTTGTTTCTGTCGTCTCGGGTTTTGGGAAGACCGGACGCTGACTGGCTGAGATCAGGATGCTGGTTCTGTGAAAAGAGGGAGAGGAAGTAAGCTCGGCTGCAGGGCCCAGAACCAGGGCTCTCCAAACTAGGGCCATGTTAATGACTGTTATCCCTTGCTGTCATGGGATCACACCTTCCCTACCATGTGATTCATGTCCCCGGAAAGCTCATGCTGGTGTTTAATAAGCACTTTGTCCCCTTCCTCCTTTGGTGTTTCCTCAGAAATGGGCCTACAGTTCGCATCGCTCCCGTCATCTTCTCGCGTGTCTCTCTCGCTGAGACGTGAGATGGAGGCAGTTGAGTTTCTGAGTCTACTTTCTACTATATTTTTGGACCTTGTTTGGACAGGATGTCGGGGAAGCGAGTGATTAGGATGCAGGAGACAGGAAGGACGCCTCCATCCGTTTGCGTTTACAGTCATTCGCAAATACGGGAATAGTACCTGCAATTACTCACGCCTAGTCGCATGACTTCTGTGGCTTCACACTCTCCAGGGTCCTTAAAGGTGCAGGGGATTGTGGGAGTTTTATGTGCATTCATCTTTCTTTGTTGTGATGCTGAGCAGGGACTTTTAGCTTCTGTGCTGGACTGCGATGATGGATTACTGTATTTACCAGCGTCTTCTTGCTTGCATCCTTTAATAAAACCTCAGCCTGGTGAAATCCTGGAAGCATCACCGCACAGCGGAGCCATGATTGGCTCCCTACCCTCCTTTATTGAGCTGGCAGTACTCTGAAAGCATGCACCCCCCCAAACATTCTCCTGGTTGCTATGACGACCTGCCTGTCACAGAAATGGCTGATAGGTAGGGCTAGCATGGGAAATTATGGCGAGGAGAGCGTTACAGCCAGAGTCGGCCGTATCCTCGAAAGTCGCATCCATCTCATCAGTGGGTGGATGTGCAGTTCTGTGCTGTCACTGAGTGTGCTTCGCTGTCACCGCAGCTCTCAGGGTCTCCATCCCAGCCCAGCCCCTCGCCACCCCTCCCACTCCTGACACTAGATATATTAACACTGCTTCAGTGTCATCACAAAATTTTAACACTGACACTGGGACACTAGGCCTGGAAATCAGAATCAGAAGACTTTTTTAATCCCGGACGAAATTGCTCACATTGCGACTGCACAATCACACATAGACACAAAGAGAAGAACAATGGGCATAGTACAGCTGGCACTGCAGTGTCGTCGTGGCAGGAGGCAGAAGGTGGACAGAACAGTAATCACCCGTGTCTCTGCAGATTGCCCGTGTCTCTGCAGATTGCCCGTGTCTCTGCTGATTGCCCATGTCTCTGCTGATTGCCCGTGTCTCTGCAGATTGCCCGTGTCTGCAGATTGCCCGTGTCTGCTGATTGCCCGTGTCTGCAGATTGCCCATGTCTGCTGATTGCCCTCTGCCACAAACTTGGTCCACGCCGGGAGCATCATAGCACCACTCGCCTGGCTTCCCTTTTCAGTCTCCTCTGCCCTCTCTGCCCTGGGGAAGTTGTTAAGATGATTCTTTCCTGCCTCCCTGTCAAGGTTGCACCTCTGCTGCCGTCTAACGGGGTGTGCGGGTCTGAATCCTGAGCTGTAGACTGTCTACGATGACCGGGATCAGAGAGTCAGCAGGCTGCTGCGGATGTCTCTGCATTTTCTCATGCAATCTGCGGTTTCCAGCGGGATGACATGGGGTTGACTCCTGGCCCGCGGCAGATGGCCACGTTTTAGCCGTTTCCGTGCGAGTGCAGCCAGTCTGTATGTCGCAGCGAATGCGGGGTCGTCGGTCTCTGTGCCTGCTTGTCTGAAGGGCCGCTTGCCTGTTATTTCAGCCAGTCTGGGCCTGGGATAACCGCTGCTACCACAAGTGCTTTATAAACCAGGCCAGAATCCATTGGAGGTTTGGGGTTTGTCCAGCCTTCTGACTTTCTCATCATTCTAGCTCATTTGTTCGTTTTGAAATAAAAACTACGAGATGTTGAGAGGAGAGACAACATGCTTTTCCAGCATGTAAATAATATTGAAGCGTAGCGGAATGATTTTGGATTATTATGTTAATAATAATTTGGAAGGGTTCACCCAGGCTGATCTCTCCGGATGATCTATTTAGGGGATTAAGTGGTTAGTAAATGTTTTTGATCTAAGTTTCTAGCTCACAAGCTCCTTCTCTCACACCCACAGACACACACACTCAATTTCATGTCACTTTCGCGCATCGAAATGTGAATCACATACATGTCTCCTTGTAGGTTTGTCAACAATGTAGGTCAGTAGCTGTGTCTCTGTGTTTTCCCTGCGGATTTCTCAATATGTCAGCTGAAGGGTGACAAGGTGGCGACACCGCAATGAGAGGAAGCCTCGTACATCAGCGACGAGAAGCCCAAGTGAGCGGTCATGTGACAGCAACACATGGCACGCGTGGATGGCGGTCTCTTGGGGATACGTCTGACCTTCAGACACTGAAATAAGTAAAAGAATTTTGGAAAAGAACTTAGCAGTGATTCATCATAGCGTGTGCACATATACAGGCACACAATTATCTCTGACGGAGAGGAGGGGAACACATTAGCCATTATGTCCAAACAAAGGGGACACATTAGCTGGTGCACACGGAAGGCGTCGTCATGGTTACAGATCGCATGAGTTCATAAAGCCTGCCGATTGAGGAGGACGACAAAGGGGAGGAAAGGGCAGATATTTGTTCTCTGAGGCCAGTTTTTGGCATGATGTAGTAATCGTGGCTCGTATCCTCACTGCTGATGGACATGCGAGCCACCAGCTGGACAGAGAAGATCAGAGGAACACCGTGTCATGAAACACTCTGGGAGAGAGCAATTTTGGTGTTCCCAAAGAGAAGTCCATTTCATTTCGCAGACTATTGCACTTGTACCTTTGTGTTGTTTGTGCTTTACCAGGTTTTATTTAAAGTTGGCATCGAATAATTGCAGCATTTATCCAGGCAATAAGTCCACCTTTGGTCCTGGAGGTGTCAAAGACTTCAGCTGCCTGGTTCTTCTCTCCTCCACGTTTCTCACTGCTGTCTGGTGCTATGGCAACCCAGCGGTGGGTTGCCATGTTGGCATTACCATATACGGGTGAGCAGGGAAGGTTGCCCATCCTTGAGTGGGACTCCACCCCTTCCCAGAACCTTTCTCTGTGTCCTAAGGAGACCTGGACTGGTCAGTACCAAGACATACAGCCTGCTGTGTCAGAGATGAGTGAAGATCTTGCTCAAGCCCAGGAGACCATAGCCGTGAGACCTGTTTACCTTAGAATCTCATGCCTTCTGTAGCAGTCCCTGGTGTACTGATTCCTCAGTGTTGTTGGAGTTGGATGCCGGTGGAATTCAGTTCTATTTTGCTAGAAATGCTCCTCAGAGCTAGTCCAGTGTCCGGTGTTAAAGGATTGTGCTTCACACGAACACCAAAGGTTGTAAAAAGTCTCCATTCAAGAATATTTTAAGGTTAGCAGTGCTCTGTTCGGCCATATTTTCCCCCTGTCCACCTGAACCTTGTGGTCAGCACACAGGAAATTGTCTTCTTACTTCCCACAAGCTGATCAATAAAGTCAGTCACCAGCCTTGGAGTAGGGGATCAAAAAAAACGCTTTATTTATTTCCCAGCACTGGCTGACCTACTGCAGTCTTCCGGAAAAAGGTATATACCTCAGTCGTTGTGACAGCATCTCCGGCTGGGCAGTTTGGCACAGAATCCCAGCTCCGGAGCGAAAGGGAAAAGCTGGCCTCTTTGCCAGTGTGGTATGGTTACTGTTGAATCCGGACCCTGAACTGCTCCAGTGACAGCATGGCTCTGTCGATGTCGTCACATGCCGAAAGCTCAGTGCGTGCCTTTTATGGACTGTGCTGGAAGCCTCATCCTGAATGTCGGGCTGGCTTCCATGGAGATCCGTCTCGCCGCGGTGGGCCTGAGTGATTGCTCCCTAATGCCGCTTGTGAGCAGATCACAGATTGAGCTGAACATTCCCAGGCACCCCCCCGCCGAACAGACGCAGTTAATCTCCATGATGGCCATCTAAACGATTTAGGCCACCTTGGTCTCAGTGCTTTGGGGCCTCATTTGTTCAGCACGCTTCCAAAATCTCCTTGTCTTCTTGTTCTAACCTCCCTGTGTGGCCGAAATATCTTGCAATATCTCTTCTCGCAACTGGTAGTCCCGTCCCTGGCTCAATGGGGGGGGGGGGGGCTCTCCGCATCATTAAGACACAGACACTGCACGTGAGACGTTCTCCACGTCGAAGGAACGCTTATCAGTCAGACACGTCCGCAGACCGACTCTCCCGGCTTATTCGGTGCAGTACACTTCATAATTCATGGCTGTTCTCATGCCAGGAAACATCACTCTTCCTTATAGCTTGCATTTGAGCCGCAGTGATTTCCAGATGAACCGCCTACGAGTCGATATTCTTCATGCAGCATATTTTGTCTTGGCTGGATCTTTCTGTCTTTTGGATATTGAGGATAAATGTCATACAGGCCCGAAGACAGAGATAAAATCTGTGTTTTATTCAGTTCCCTTTAGATAAATATTTTAAATGCCTCTTATTCCAGACCTGTATCCGGATATCATGAAACCCTCAGATACAGGAAGTGTTAGATCAATACTATGACACTGGTACCGCACTGCCTTCAAGGTCTTTGGAGTGTGGGGATCAAATCCCAGGAGATCGCAGCCTGTCGTCACAGCCCTAAAAAGTCAGAAAATATCCCGTGGCTAAAGTGTAGGGACTGTGACGGAAAGGTCACCCCTCAGATTACACGTCTGCCGAGCAGCCGAGCAGAGTAATGTACTTTCACAGAAATGAATAGGGGTTTAAAGCACAGTTCTGTTAGTAAGTGCTCGCTGCTATGGAGACAATACCGTCATATCTCCATCTCTGGGCCCTTCTTGTCTCCACAGGCTATATCCACGACACGCCAGCGCCATGAACAACCTGGGCACGCTGACACACCACCCAGTGGAGGCCGAGAGCTACTACAGGAAGGCCTTGGAGATCAACCCCCAGCACAACCGAGCCCTCTTCAACCTGGCCAACCTGCTCAAGTAAGCAGCCCTGGGGTCTTGGGCACCACACCACACAGAGGCACCCAGCACCTGCACCGCTATTGGCTAGTTCAGATGTCTCTTTTTGATGACCTCATAGTGGGGCAGAGTGAGCGCTGAAGTGAAGCAGAGAGAGTACACATGCGCACAGTAATAGCCTAGTCTTTGCAGACCAAATAACACGGCATAATTCAGGCCTTGCTAATCTCACGTCCTCGTACTAATAAAGCTTGAACTAACACACAGTAATTCCATGGTTCTCTGGTTGCACGTACTGTACCCACTGGTACTAAATGTGCACCTCCAGCTGGAGAAAATGGCTAGAGGTGTAGCAAGTGTGTTTCCTGTTTTCAGTAAATTCCACTTGTTGGCTCCTCCCGATGGAGCCCTATTTGGGCTATTAGAAAATACCATGTGCGTGTGGTCTGGCAATGATCATTATCAGCAGGAAGGAGACCGGCTCCCTCTGGGAGGCTAATACCAGGTGAGAGCGATGATGAGGTGAATTACTACACATTAGGCATTATGGGTAATGTGGTAAATTGACTTCTTTTTGTATTCGTGATGAAATGTAGTCATGGAGATGCTTGAGTCTTGGTAGGGCTGACTGTGGACCTGGTACCAGAGCAGTGACTGTGACGTCTGCATATTAAAATGCAGCGGTGGGGCCAGTCAGGGGGTGTGAAAGTCACAGTCCCGCGGGAGACCACATCTGGGCAAGCGCCCCCCCCCCCACCCCCCACTCCATTACCTCCACCTGACAGAGCCTCCTTGGTGTTCACACAGTTAAGCAGGGTGCAGTTTGGAGCAGAGTGAATGCCAGCTGGGGGGGTGGGGGTGTTGTTTACAGTGAGAGGACTGTGTACGTATACGGCAAGGTGACAGAGAGAGAGAGAGAAGCTCAGTGCAGATGTCATGTACCGCAAGCCCAGCACTTTTGATGTGTCAGGGCCTGACTGAAGACTGTTCAGTGTGGTATGGTTACTGTTAAACCACTTGAGTGAGTAAAAGGCAATGAAAACATTTATTTCCTGTCGCTCCATATTCAGCTGTGCTGAGGAACGGGGTGACACGGGATTTTACAGCCAGTACCGATAGCTAGACATATTTTATGGATGGATGTCGAATACAGCAGGTGATTCTGTTTGGCTGTATGGAAAGATTCAGTAATAGATTAACAGATAATGCGTTAAAATTATTTAGTAATCAAAATGCTAAATGTAATTTCAGGAAAAGTTATTTAAATATTCCATAAAGGTCAGTGACCTTGTTCTGTTTGGATGGATGGATGGATGGATTTTTGTATTTAATAATGTTATTAGTTATAATGTTAATTATAGTACACAACTGAAACCTGCTGATATACTATAATGTCTTTCGTACCCCTGGCCAGGCTCACCTGGGTGGTCTCTGTAAAAGGACAGGGCCTTCATTTATGTCCGTTTTACGGTTCTCTGTCAGCATACACCCATGAGCTACTGTAAGCGTGTGTCCCAAAGGTCAGGGACTGATTAATGACTAATCACGGTCTGCACACATCTCACACTCCCACGTCACCATGGAGCCAGCTGTGGAAAAACAGAAGTAAACATTAATCAGTGCCGGGGAATCAGGGAGGGAAACGCACCCAGGAAACTGACAGGATCCCGACGCCGGCAAGAGCTCCGTGAATCAAACAGAATTACGTTTTAATCAGACTGCGATAGCGATGCTGCCGTAACATCTGGAATAGCCCCCACCGGGGGCTAAGCTGCTGACATGCTGTCTTTGTCTGCTGGGTAATTATACAGAGAGGGCTCAGCATTCTACCCTTTTTCCAGGTAAAGGTGCAGCGATTCAGATTCATTTAACACAAGATTTAAACCTTGTCCTTGTTTTAAGTCTGTGTTCTAAAACAAAACTGAGAACATATTTTGACTGAGAATATATATTTATATATAATATATACATTTTTTTATTTTCATTTAATTGTTTTTAATAGTTTTGTATGATTACATTGAATTTTTTTGCCCCATGATTCTGTATTGGATAACTAGTTGGAAGATGGATGGATGGATGGATGGATGGATGCCGCATTCAGAGCTAACTCCCATGTGTAGATTTCACAGTCTCTCCTTTTACTGCCAGCATTAGGAGAAGGGGCCGCTCGATCATGTGAGGTGATTTATCACGAGGGGATCCATCACACTCCGGCTCCCTAATGGAGTCTGTCTTTTCGATAAGGTCACGTATTTTCTGCCTTGCCGTTTTGTGTAGTTACCGGCTGCCCCATGACACTCTTTTTGTCGTTATTGTTTTTTACCAAGTTACATTTAGTCTCGTCTAGTTTTTGTCTTGGTTTGGGCGTGCACTTGGTAAATACAATCTGTGATTGTGCAGTGTGGGGACCAAATGTCCTCCACAATGTGATAAAAACCTGTTATTTTGACGTTGGGGACCATTTTTCGGGTGCCCACAAAGATCTGTGAATGCAGTCAAAAAACTATAAATGCCAAAGGTTTGGTTATTTATGGTTAAGGTTAGGGCTGGGTAGGGGGTAAGGTCATCATCTTGAGATTAGAGTTTTTCCCATAGAAATGAATGGAGAGTCCCCACAAAGATATAATTACAAACCTTCTTGGGAGCAAGGGGGGGACCTCAGTCAGCTTTAATGTACAACCATGTCATCCCAGAGTACCTGGAAGGGGCAGAAAGGCCAGGAAAAACCGGCAGACCGGAATGCTGGGTGCTTAGATGGTCTGGAATCTGGCTCAGATTTCCCGGGTTGCATTACAGCTTCACGAGCGGCCCTTGGCTGCAGAATGTCACCGGAACAGGCTGATCTGCACTCAGCACTTTGTGGCTGGACGTTCTGGGTCGGTGGCCTGGGCTTTTGCGTCTGTGTTGTGCCGTCATGTCCTCCTTCAGCTCCGACTGTGAGAGCCCCCCTCCCCCACGGTGTTTCAGGACTCAGGGGAAGGAAGAGGAGGCGGAGCGACTGCTGAAGGACTCCATCCGATTCGGGCCACACTTCGCGGACGCCTACTCCAGCCTGGCATCGCTGTATGCCGATCAGGTGACCCCCGCCAACTCTGCCCACCGGCCATGTAGAGAGGGGGGGTCACGGGGGATGGGAGAGTGGTGAGACACCATCACTGAAGGCTGAAGGCACATCCAGTATGGGGCGTCAGAGTGGCGTGGATACCCTGGCATATTCGCGGGGCCCGGCCCCTTATAGGGGCCCCCATATATAACATTGGTGGGGCCGCTTAGCAAGATCTGCTGAGGGGGACCGCAAGCTGACATTTAGAATATCTACCAGCGCCCCCTGGTGACTAGACTTATGCAGTACTTCAGTTCTGAGCTCCACCCAGTGGACCCCCACCATCTCCTGCATTGAGCCCTCATCCCAACCCCCACCCCCCACAACCGCCACCCTGGCCTCTGACGCCAAGCGAAATTAAAAGCTCCAGATTACGCAGCATGTCTCGCTGCCCGGACCCAACACGCCTCGGCTCGGTGCCGAGACGCCCTTCCGCCACGCGGCGTCAGTATCGACGTGACTCAGCCCTTCCCCAGCATGACTCCTCATTCCCCGGCCATATGCTTATTCAGGGGCCTGATTAGTTACTGTATCTCGCAGCTGATCAGCTGTTCGCTGCTCAGATTATTCAGAACACAGCTCAGTGGCGTTAACCTGCTCACAGAGCATGAAAAAAATCTTCATCCAGTCTGGAAAAGCTGCTCGACTGTATATGTTTACCCTTTGTGATCATTAATCATACATCCAGTTATTTTAAGAAGCAGCTCTTTCAGCGCAGAAAGCTGGCTCCCCAGTCCCTAGCAAGATGATTCAACCGTTACATTACCGCCAAGTTTAGGTCATCACTCCAGCATATCGCTGTACACAGATGGAAAGTGAGGGCGGCTGTGTGGTCACATGACATGTTAGTGGGAGGTGCTCTGTAGGTCAGCTGACACTCCCGATTCCCCCCTCACTCTTTCCCCCACAAATAATCTCCCACCATTTGTCGTGGTCTCACCGCTACAGAAGAGATTTGCAGAGGCTGACGACATCTACCTGCAAGGCATCGAGAACTGCCCAGACAGCTCGGATCTGCACAACAACTACGGAGTTTTTCTCGTGGACACAGGTGTGTACCGGGGTCTGCTAAATGAGCGGTTTGACTCCTACCTGTAAGGGTCTGTGCATTGGAGAGCACTTTCTGGAAGGCTCTGTTTACTCCCTGAAAAAGCAGACCCAGACATTCTGGCCTCCTTGGTAATTCCCCCTGTGCCTAAGTGGAGCAGGTTCTGACTTTTTAGCATTTGTCCGGTTCCTTAATTTCCTCCTTGGCTTTCCAGGTGATGGGGAAGGGGCAACTGTCCACTACCAACAGGCCGTGCGGCTCAAGCCCACGCACTACGTTGCCATGGTGAACTTGGGTCGGCTGCTGCGCTCCTCAAACAACAACAGGGAGGCTGAGGCCTGGTACAAAAAGTGAGTGGAAAGTGGCAGGAAATGATGTCACTGCTGGGGGTAGCTAACAGCTGGGCATATCTAAGTGTCTTAAAGCGAACACACCAGAAAAATACAAGGCAGGAGAGCACATCACATTCTTTGGGACTGGAATTTAGTAGTGATGGCCAAATGAAGCTCCGTGAACCATTTGCTATTTTTCTGAGACCAGTAGATGGTGCCCTCTGTTCATAAAAGGGCTCAAAGCATGCATCAAAGCAAGCCAAGAGCGCCATCTAGTGGGGTCAGAAAATACAGCAAATGGTTCATGAAGTTTCATTTGGCCGTCACTAGTATTTAATGCCTTTTGGGAAACGGTAAGCATACAGGATTTTCTCTGGATCCCTCGGGGGGGAATTTGACCTGTGCGACCTCGCCTCTGTGTCTCCGCCTACCAGGGCACTGCAGGTGACGCAGAAAGTGGAGATCCTGACCCCCTTGGGGGCGCTGTATTACAACACAGGCCGCCACGAGGAGGCGCTGCAGGTGTACCGCCAAGCAGCCGGCCTTCAGCCCGACAGCACCGAGATCTCGTTGGCGCTGGTGAGGAATGTGAGCGGGGGACTTTGGGGTGGGGTCACGAGCGGCAAACTCCCACACTGCTGCTGGGGGGCATTGGAGGGGCATGGATACCTTGGCATGGATCTGCGGTGGCCCAGCACTTGAAAGGGGCCCTTGAATGCATGAAAGTGTATGTAAAATTGGCCGGGGGGGGCAGAATTTGTACACTCCGTGTTCTTCTAAACCAGGGCCTAATCTGAAAATGCACATAAATATCCACATTCAGATTCAAATTTATCTTCATGACTTGCAGTCAGCGGTGACTGTTTTACTCATTTTTTGTAGTTTGCGACTGAAGCAGCTGCTTTTAAGTACTTTACTCAAGGGTGCACCAGCAGTCACCCTCCTGGGATTTGACTCCCCACGCTTGAGATCGTGTGAGCAGAGCCCCACGGTGTCTGGGCTGCTCTCATTTTAAGCCAGCATTTGGCCTGATTTCTCTCAGAATCGCAGAATTTACAGACAAGCGCGGCGCGGAGCTGCCTGATCACCGCAACGAAGTCTGCGCCTCTCGCAAGCCTTTGCGCGGTAAAAGGCCCGCTCTCTGGATGTAACGCAGCATGCCCCCCCCCCCCCCCCAATGAGCTGGGTTTAGTCTTCTCTTCACTATGCCGGCAGCATATATTTTACTAGGCGAGCATTACGGACATACTTTGCAGTTCTCGATTTGACGCTTATCTGTCAGGAGCCTTTTAAGGAGACAGTTTCGCTTGCATTGCTTGAGAAATCGTGATGTGGATTGGATATTATAAAAAATCCTGGCTATATTACAAGCAGGGAGGAAGGAGCTGAATGTAGTGTTTGTAAATTTAGGCATCACACGAGGAATGTGGAAGAATGCTGTGACCCCGCCCCCCCCCGACAGGACCTTGGGTCCGCATTCGTCCTGATGTCACTTCCTCTGAGCCGCCGCCCACAAGATCAGTACTTCAGCGCACTGTTCACTGTGTCACCACGGTTCCTGTGAGCCTCGTACCCAGGGGTGGTGATAAGGGGGGGGAAGTTAGAGCGATTCCACTCGGGGGCCCTAAAAAATTTGGAATTTAATTGCATGTCTGGGTTGTGCGGCCGAATCTCTGGAGGTCCCCCCCTTCTTATGCCAGTACGGGATCGGTCATCTCTGTGAGACCTTGGGAGGGGGGGTGGGGACGTGTTTGAGGCGATCGAGTTCTCTGTGATCTCTGTCCTACCGAGCGATGTGAGGGGGTGTCGGTGAGGCCGGGCTGTCCAGCTGCTTATTGTTGGCCCAGTTATACACACCATGTATATTTACAGCAGCACGGCACTGGCTCGGCTGATAATTACGTGGCTCTACTGACAACAGGAAGCGCCTTGTCTCTGGGGCTGTCTCCTGTTTAATTGTCCTGGAATCCCTTGTCTCCGCTCACTGTGATGTCGGCTTCAGGCACAAGTGCTGGCCATGGCGGGTCAGACCGGCGAGGCGGAGTCGATCACCTTCGAGATCATCTCGAGGAACGCGGCCTGTATCGAGTGCTACCGCCTGCTGTCCGCCGTCTACAGCAAGCGGGGGAGCTCCCAGGAGGTACGACCCGCCCCAGGGGGTCACGGTCACCCGCAGCCAGCGTGCGATGGGCAGCACAGCGCTTAGTGCTGGGCTATAGCGCTCGCTAGCACGTCTGCCGGGACCGTGCACAAGGTCCTCACCCCTTTATTTCAGACCCTCCCTCATTCTTCCAGCTCAACCCGCCTTCATTCTCTCTCACTCTGTCCCCCGCTCCTTCTGTCTGCTATCCCCATCACTCTCTTATTCTCTCTCTCTTTCGCCATCTCTCCCTCTCTCATTCTGCCTGCTTTCCCTGCCTGTCTCTCACATCTCATCACCTCTTCTTCTGACACCCTCTCATTCTCTCTCCCTCCCTATCAATCTCTCCCCTTCCCCTTCCATCTTTTTCCCTCTGTCGCCCTCTCTCGCTCACCATCTCTCTCTCTCTTCTTCTGTCCGCTGTTCCCTCTGTCACCCTCTCTCTCTCTTTCTCTCTCTCTTTCACCATCTTGCTCACCTTCCCCCCACCCTGTACTGCCCCCGATGTCCACAGCCTTACCATCTCCTCTGCCTCGGACTCCTCATCATCACAGTACAGCCCCAAAGGCTGCATCTGCTCTCCTTTGATGCTTAAAATAAAGCGGGGTTGCTGTGATGAGACGGCCACGAGTCCTTTCATCACTGGGGGGTGGTGTGTGCCACTGAAGGTCATTTCCTGGGGTTTCCCGTCAGCTTCCTGAGGCAGTCTGAGACCTCTGCTTCACAGAGATCTGCAGGGTCAAGTTTTTCTCTAGTTTTGTGGGAATTAAGTCCCCCCACAGTACACAGTAAATTAAAATGACTGATTAATTTTGGTACCGGGGGATTAGATGGCTTTGGCTCTGCCTGCGATGAGTTATGTTACAGAGCGAGTCTCACCTTCTTCAAGCCCCCAAGTCTATCTCCTGCTGGCTCTAAGTGGTCTCCGTCGTCAACAAGTAAATTAAATTAGGTGATAAACTATTTCGGGGGCCGATTATTGTAAGGTGTAGTTTAAAAGGCACAATAAATCTGCTGGGTTTAACAGGGAACCTTAGTGGACCACTCTGCTGTAAATAGCTCTTTTTTGAGTGGCTTGTCTGGTGCCTGGGGGCATTAGCGCCCCCTTCAGGGGATGTTGGGCGGTGTTGTGAGAGGGCTGTTTGAATGTTTGTCTGTGTTGCTGCTGACGCTCTCTGCCAGGCACTCGAGGCTCTGGACAAAGCCCTGCAGCAGGAACCAAAGGACCGCGGCGTTAGAGCTGAGCTGCATTTCTCCAAGGGCAACCAGCTGAGGGAGATGAACCTGCTGGACCGTGCCTTCCAGGTGGGGGACCCGCTTCTGCGCCCATCACCTTCCCACAAGCCCCTGTGATCTCTGCTTCATGCTCTGCCTGCTCTTCTCCTCCGCCCCCGTTGTCTTCCCCGACTCTCTTACCTTACGCTAACGCTCTCCGCGTTCCAGGGCCCAGACTCCTTTCTCATGACCTGATCCATTCACCTAATCCTCTCTTTTCCTTTATCCCCCACCTACCACCGTCGGATTACAGAAAAATGATGTCCCTCCAACCAGACTCTTCTGTCCCCATTTCCAAACCAAATCAGAGATCTAGCCTCTACAGACACCTGTGTTATTACATGAAGAAAACTTGCCTGTCAGCTACAGTGTTTATACAGTGATGATGTCAGCTATGGTACATGTGTGATCTACTGCAATCATGTCAACTACGGTAGTGTGATCTAGTGATCATGGCACCTACGGTATGTGTGATCTACAGCGATCATGTCCGCTGTGGTACATGTGTGATCTACAGTGATCATGTCAGCTACAGCACATGTGATCTACAGTGATGTTGTCACCTATAGTATGTGTGATCTGCCGTAATTATGACAGCTGTAGCATGTGATCTACAGTGATCGTGTTAGCTACAGCACATGTGATCTACAGTGATCGTGTTAGCTGCAGTGTGTCGGAATTGGGTGCAGAATAACACTTCTGCCTCTCTGTGAAACGTTTGTATTTTGTATCTGATAAGCAGCTTAGAATAGTCACATTTGTTTGAAAAAAGGTCCTTCATAGCAGGTACAGAAAACAAGTATCATAGATGGTACAAGCTACATCTGAGATACTTAGTACTTAAAGAAAATCTGAACAAGAACTGTTCCTCCATGTTTGTTGTTGAAGGGACTGGGCCTTACTGCACTGGACGTTAAAGAACAACACGGCATTTGGCAAGTGCATGAATTAGTACAAATATTATGCAGCATTTGTCTATCTGTGACTGTTATCTCTCTGTGCTGAAGTGGTTTAGGATCTGCATTTAAAGGACATTTGGGAGATCCTGCGGTATTTTATAGTTTATCCTGGGAATCTTCTTCTGGGATAAGCCCGAGCTCTTGGCCCTGAGCCACATTTATGATCGAATGTCACCGCTTTCTGTTTTTACATCAAGATGCGCTGGAGTGATATTTTTGACTTGAGTTTTTCTGCCATCTAGTGTCATAATTGAATTACTACATTTGCACTGCTTTTACAGCGTCACTTAACTGCTCTGCACACCCACTTCTCGAAGAAGTGAAATATTGCATTCATTTGTATTTCCGCAGAGTTATAAAATGGCTGTGGAGCTTAATCCCGAACAGTCACAGGCCTGGATGAACATGGGAGGAATCCAACATATCAAGGTACCAGCAAACTTGTGCAAACATGAATAAATAAACAGAGAGATATAAATAGTGTGTGTGGGGGGGGGGGTGTATGTGTGATTTACATACCGTAGTTTCTTTGAAGCTCTGTAAACAGCCACCCAGTCTTTGAGGACTGTGGTTTGCTGGAGATAGAAAGCCGCAGGTCTGTTTGAGCTAGAGGGCTGGGGGTTCCATGTGTGCCGTAAGCCCCCAGCTCATGGGACTCGCCGTTGCGTTTTCGTGCACCCAGGGGGACTACGCCGCAGCCCGGCTGTACTACCAGCGGGCCTTGCAGCTCTCCCCGGGCTCCAGGCTGCTCAAGGAGAATCTGGCGAAGCTCGACCGGCTGGAGAAGAAGGTGAACGAGGCGTAGCGAGGCCCGGCTGGTTAGTTCGGAGGAAGGGTGACCTGCGGAGGAGGAGCCATCCGACACAGACCCCGGTCTGCCAGTCAGTGCCGACGGGAAGGAGACGCGGCCAAGTGGCCTGCTGGGGAGGGGGGTCAGGGGTCAGGAGCCAAGGGGTGGGGGCTGTGACCACACAGGGGACATCAGAGGACAGTGAGGAGCAAGAACAGACCCTGGAGTCAAGCGGTATGAAGGACTTGGTTTACAGAACCTGTAATGAACCAGGTCTTCCTGTGAAAGTCTGAATAAGCTTTAAAGAATCATTATAAATGCTGTTAACAAAAATACTAAACATTCTTAAAAAATGGTCATTTTATTTATCTTTATTAATCTCAGAGAATTGCTTCATTTTTTACTACTTATATCGTTTAGCGAGAGTTAGTCTGTTAAATGTCAATGAAACATTGAGGTACTAATAAAGTTAGAAGAAGCTGGAGCCCGGTACAGCTTTACTCTTTACTTACTCTGACAGCCCCCCAGTCCGGGTCTCCGTTTAGCTGTAGATGTGATAAAGTCTACACAGAGATTTCTCAGAATAACCTTCATTTCCACCAAAGCGGAATGTTAAATAGAATCAGCGGGGGGGAAAAAATACCAGTGCAACGATCGTGAGATGAACTTAGATCACAATAGCACCTCTGCTGATATTTTTTGTTCGCTCTCTATCTCCATAAAAAACACGAAGAACCAGAATTCTACCTGACGATGGCATTTATTTTCCCACGCCTGAATGTATGTAGATGTACGCTTTTGTTCCTCTCACTGTTTTAAGATGACGGTGACATGATAACGGCGTCATAGAAAGGCTGTGATAAGCATATATTAGCTTGGCCTCTGGATGGTCTAAAGTTTGTGGCCTGTTTTTCAATAATAGTATTCAGCTGTAGGAGGGATATTGGAGGGAAATTTCTGTAGCTCGTTTACAGAGATGCCTGCAGACGGGAATAGACTCACTAGGCGTCTTCACGTGTTTCAGCGAGAAATCAGCACTCAGATGGGACCTGTTTTTTTCTCAAGGAGGAAAAAGCAGGTAATTTGTCCCTAAAAAAGCAAATCAAAGAACATTTCAGGCAAACCAAACCCTCATTCAAGCATGCAAGTCCCCACGGTTTGATGTCACATGTCTGCATAAACGTTTGTGTCACTATAAATGAAAACGTACCTTATGTTTGGGATAAACAAAAACTCTTTTGAAAGTCTGTGTTTTATGCTCTTGATGTTTAAGTAATTTCTTGTTATAATTTATGAATGAAGTAATATTTTTTATATTTTCCAAGAGCATGCCAAGTAATGACCAAACTCTTTGAAGTGCAACAGTTTTTGTGTGTGTGCTCTGATTTTATTTATTTATTTCATGCAAAATTAATGGCTTTTATTATTTTTTTTTTTGGTAACCTGAATGTGTAAATGTTTACTTGTGAATTACGGTGTTGCTGAAAATGTAAGGTTTGATACACTAAATGAGTGAATTTGATGAAGGTTGGTGCGCTGAATTTTCCAGTCATGTGACACTTAAGATTTGGCCAAAGGACTGAAACAAATCAATACATTTTATTTTTCCAGAGTATATAAATTATTGGACACGCATTTGATTTAGTGCAGTAAAGTAACTTGGATGAACCCAGAAGTGTATGTTGCACTACAGGGCTTCACAAGGTTTATGTCCCATTTTTATTGTACATTTATTCGTTTCTTTTTCTTTCTATATTGTAAAGAAACACTGTGTTTGTTTGGATTACTTTGTTCTGTAATAAAATTATATTTTGTCAGCAGTGTTATTCTCAGCATTCTGTGCTTCAGTGTTTTTGATTGTGAGGTTGATTTGAGTCACTTGATTGTGAGAAGCACTGGCTGTTGAGTGACTTATTGCCTAACGGACACATTTATCTAGAAACTTGGGACATCACTGACCCAGATGGAGACTCCATGGAGATAATTAGATTGGTTAAACCCTAAAGTTACACCACTACTCATAGATGACTGACGTGATCCAACCCAAAGGTCAAACAGATCTCGATAACAGTTCTGCGTGCTCAATTGCCAAGCAATAGGAAGATGTGTGTTTGAATTTGGAACTATGTAAAAGAATATTTAAAACAGTGAGATCCATAAGTAAAATTAGTTACAATTGGCTAAATACGGCACCACAATGGATTTAAAATGAAGCAGGATATGATTGAAGCATACCTGTAGATTTTCAGCCTTAATTCAAAGGGTTTATCAAAAATATCATGAGGTATTTAGGAGTTACTGCCATTTTTAAACATAACCCCCCCATTTTCAGGGGTTCAGAAGCATTTGCATAAACTAACATAAATATAAACATTTTTAATATTTGGTTACATAACAGGATTTACCAGGGGTACTATTTGCACATATTATATTCATTAAAATTTCATTATATATATATGTACCTTATACCGTGCTTTGCAGCCCCAGGGGGAAAAACCTAGAGTCATCTAGGCTCAGTTGAAAATCAATAGCTACTTGAAGTCTGGAACCCATGACAACCAAATTCTCGGTTTCCTCCTCAGTGAGTCTTCAGTTGCATATAAACAAAGTTATATTCTGCAGAGTGTAAAAGAGCCTTTTTCATTACAGTCTAAGGCAGAATGGAATTAACATTGATATTGTCACTCATTTACAAAACTGTCCGTATTTGTGTGAAACATATGAATCTTTCCTGTTATCCAGTAACATTTTAACTTCATAATTTTTGTACAGAATTTTTGCTGACAGGATGGTAAATAATACCAAGATTTTGCACAAAACCTCACCTCCAAAAATAACACAAAATATGCCAAAGTCAATGTTGCTATTAAATTATTATTTTAAGAAATTAATGCGTATTTTTAATGTCTATTATCTCTGTTTCATTGATAAAGAAAACACGAATATGTAATTTGATCCATGTCTTGTAAATATTTGACTCATTTTAGAGAAAATATGAGTAGGTAAATCTTAGGGACATAAAACGACCGATATAATAACTTACTCTAAAACTAAGGTTTTTATTTTTCTATTTTATTTTATAAAATGCTCTTTTTCAGATGTCGTTCCATTAGGTTTATGTTCAGTGTCGGCTTTTTCCTCCCTGAGAAATCCTGCTCAGCTGCCGGCCGCTAGGTGTCGTTGCTCATAATGGGCGTGTGCACAGAGAGTCCCGGCGGCGCAGGGGCGTCCCTCCCCCGACGGGAAGTCTCCATACACGGAAGTGCAGCTTCTGTGATGACAGAAACGGGGCCCGATGGCCGTCTAAACAGCCAGGCGGCTCGTTAAACACGGCTGCTTGGTGCCGGGATCCACGGTTCTTCCGAAGCGGCTCTTTCCCTGTAAGTGACGCCGGCGGCGGCGACTCCGGCTCCGCATCAGTCCTTGCAGTGTTGAGGTTGTTGTTTCACTTGCTCAATCCGCATGGATCATCGGTATATCTGTCTCTGTTGATGTTTACGAAGCATCTCCAGTTTGTCCATTGCTGGCAGATGCGTAATAATTTTTATATCGGAGGAAGATGCGACAGCCGTGGATGCGGTTGTAATGTTTTTGCATCAAAATCTGCCGTTATATGTGCTACAGAAGGGTTTACTTGTTAAATGCATGTGAACCGAACAGGAATAGCAGGAGACTGAGGGGCGCTTCTGCACGAAGCTGATACGTAGCGGTGTTTCACTGCTGAAAGCAGCAGGGTGCAGGGTTAGGGTTAAGAAGGGGAACATCATCGCTACCTGACAGACACGGTTTCTTCACACCTAATTAGCCCGCATTATTCAAAGAAAAATGTTTATTGATGGGATTTTAAGTTAAGATCAACTTCAAAGGTCTTTGTTGTCATCAGAGTATGATAGTGTCCTGTAGTAAAAAAACGGATCATACAATTTAACTAACAGTTTACACCATAGGGCGGTTGCGTAAGGGCTACCTTTGCATTCTTATACTAACGAGAGACTGGTGCGATCTTCACTAAGGACTGTTTGTGCTGCAGTCTTATCGCAGTTATAGCGCACGGTTATGCAGGATGTGCTCACGGTTACAGCCTCTGCACCATGGAGCCGACTGCGTCAGGGATCTTCTGTGACCGCATGCTGAGCATGGTCAACTCCGAGGACGTGAACGCCATCATCCAAGCGCAGCGGCACATGTGAGTAAGTCAGGGCGAGGCGCTGATGCGCTGAACTTGGTGCCGATTTGGACCAGGCACGTGCTCCCTGTTTTGGGCAAATACTTTTTATGTATATATGTACTGGTGCAGTGATGTCTTGCTGTTAAACCATATAATTACATATATGCACTTCTCTGACTGACACAATTTTCTGACAATTATATACAAATATGTATGAGATGGTTGTTCAATATATATCTGCATATACCCAGCACTACACCTCTGACTGTATGTGTGTCCTATCTATCCTTTAATGTAGTGATGAACAATGTCAGTTTCTAACTGGAAGTGTAGCTCTGCGAAAAACTGATGGCTTCTCGTTGACCCACATGTTTGGATTTCTGCGTTTGCCAGGCTGGACCGCTTTGAGAAGACCAACGAGATGCTCCTCAACTTCAATGGCCTGTCCAACGTGCGGCTTCAGCAGATGAACGAGCATTTCCTGCACCACACGCGCACGCTGGTGGAGATGAAGAAGGACCTGGACAGCATCTTTAGGAGAATTAGGTGCGTTAGGAACAGGATTGACAGCTACTGTTTTAGTCTAACAATACAAAAAGTTTTTGTCCTCAGTACCTCTGTCACAGTGCTCACGTTTTGTTTAATGAGCAAGACATCAAGACTTGTTCTTTTTTGTGTTATGAAGTCATTTTTATTGTCATAATATTAGAGAACTACAGTGGAAAGGGCTACATATCAGCCAGCATTACAGTGGCATGTTTCAGTCTGTATTTGTCTTTGTTCTGATATTTTCGTGAGAATTTAAACATTTTTATGTGCAATGTATGAATACATAAATGTAAAAAGCAATTAAATTTCAGACACTAAAATTTGACCTTTGTCTTTATCGCGTGACCTTTAGGGCACTAAAGGGCAAGATTGCAAAGCAGTACCCTGAAGCCTTCAGCAGTAAGTCAGCCTTGTAAATATGAATGTGAATCCTGGGGTTTTTTCTCCCAGTTTTGTCTTCACTGGCCGTCTCAATCACCACACACAGATGTCCATGAGTTGCCCATCCTTGAGGATGACGACGAAGAGTTCGACCCCGTCCCCCCCAGCACTGCCACCACCGTCACTCTCACCTCTGAGCAGAGCACCGAGTCATGTGACACCAGCCCTGACATCATCTCCCCGACTATCAGCCACTGCTGCTCTGAGGACTCCACCCAGGAACAGCTGGACACGCCCACGTCAGACGGTCTGGGCGGAGCCGTCTTGCGGGATGAGGGTCCGGACTAGGAGGGATGAGGAAGGACTCAGCAGCCGCATGGGAATGAAAACACTCTTTGCAGCCAAGATATCCACAAGAGGCTTTCTTTGGACATTCTGTGTGCTGAAACCCTGTCATCTGGTGAAAGAGGGCGAATGCAGACATGCATTTCTGCTCACACGCCGCCCGATTATTATAAAGACAAAATACTTGAATTCTTGTGTGTGAATTTTATGCTCTTAAGGGTTGGCAGAAACTGTTCTGCTGTCTCAGACCCAGTGTCATTTTAAAAAAAAAAAAAACATTTCCACCAGTATGAGATGAAAGGAATTGGAGCTGAGTAAATATGCAATAATTTACATATGGGGAGATGTATTTTTCAAGTTTAACTGATGCCACTCTAGGGCCCGTGTCTGCGTAAAGGCTTAATTTGATTGGCCTCAGCAATGATTTGTTTCCTCTGCTTGATCCACTTTATGGAATGTTCTTATATAAGACCCCAAAGAGGGCTCTAATTTAGCAGTCCATGCTAACAAATATGTAAACTGACCTTAGTGTTTTTTTCCAGTGTTCATTGTGGGATATATCTCAAAAGTGCTGAAATGTTACAGTTTATTCAGAGGTACGTTTTTGTAAGTCTGCTTTATTGATGTTGTGTCTTAAAAGATGTAATAATTTTAACTGCTGAATATTGTATGCATTAATTAGACTATAAAGTGAATAAAGTATAATTTAATAACTTTTCTTGAATAGGCGGTTCTAATTTCTAGATCGCGCAATACAAGATACTATCAACTAGAGCAGTGGTTTTCAACCTGTGGGCCGCGGCCCCCTAGTGGGCCGCGACGGTATTGCAGGGGGGCCGCCAATTATTATTAATAGAAATTGTAATATTGTTAATATAATAAAAAATGTCTAGTCAAAATCAAATAAATCATAATTTGATATATAATTAAATAAATTACCAGTTTATTCAATAAAGACAATTAACAGCCTTGCTTCCGAGTACTTAGTTAACCCGACACAAAAAGCGGGATCGTTTAAATTCTTTTGCAGTGGGCCGCGGAAACATATGTGTTTGGCTGTGTGGGCCGTGAGTTAAAAAAGGTTGGGAACCACTGAACTAGAGCATTACTGCATATGTTATGGGGAAAATCCAGATGATATAACAGCCCTACCGCTAGAGGGCGCTGTGGAAATCGGAGGCCTGCCACTTTAGCTTACATGATACAAATATTCTATGGTAAAGGGTAGTTGAAAGGTTATGTCGCTGTACACTGACGGCTGGCTATTGTGAACATCCGCCCAAAAGGGGTGTTAGGGCTGTACATTTAGGTGCTTTGCCCGTGGGACTGTTCGAATTCGCCTTTTGAGTAATGCAGTGATACGCTCGGCACCTTGGATTTTGGTCGCATGACACACAGGTAAGACTGCGCGAGGAAGTCTTTAGCTGGCCGGCTAACGTTGCCTAAGCGTGCTTGTCAGACGGCGTCGTGTCTTTGGTTAATATGCCAAAACGTTGGCTGTATCCTGCCTGCTGGTTCGGTTGTGACCTGATCGGACGGGGCTGCAGTGAGCGCTTCTTTAGCGGTGTATCACGCTTGACTAGTCGGGTCTTTAGCTTCCTCTACAGTGAACGTGACGTGGACCGCTAGGCGCCAGAGAGGCGTCGGTTCCGCCGAGCGGTTCGCTGATCAGCCCCCTGATAAACTGGCTCTTGTAACTTCACGCATAACTTCCCGGTTTACTCGTTTAACGTTACCATGAGGGCGTTTTAATACCCTAAGCATAAGATCAAAATAAAACACCGTAATCAAGTGTTCAGCCATGAAGAAATGTTCATTCTATTATTATGTCTTTCTGTCTTTTTAAATGTGCACTACTTTTATAAGTGATTCCTTTTCTCTTATTTAAATTGAAATAATTTAATCCCATTTACGTATGGTTTAGTGGCAGTTCATAGCGTTGTTTGAAGTGCCTTTAGTGGTTATACTAGTTCTTAGATTTTACTATTTAGATTTTTTTGCGCGTGTGTCTTGCACTAATTAGTCTGGGAACTCGATATTTGTAAAAGCTTCAGTGGTGTGTTGTAAGGCAGCCCGGTGCCCTTTGTAGGCTGTATATATGAGGTCGGAGGAAGTGGACAGTTCCCCCAAAAATGAGGCGACTGAACAGAAAGAAGGCTTTCAGTCTGGTGAAGGAACTGGATGCCTTCCCCAAGGTCCCAGAGAGCTACGTGGAATCCACAGCCAGCGGGGGGACAGGTGAGTTCTCACATCTCAGTGTCTGGGCTGAAGGGCACTTCGCTCTTCCCTGTTTATGATTTTTATAGTGGAAGCAAAGAGCACTTTGGACAACCCCAGGATGCCAAATAAGGCTGTAACTCAAAGGGAGAGTCATGAGATTTATTCTCTAACCGGGTTCTTACTGTCCATTGGGGTTGCATAATTTTGGGAATTTTCAAGGTTGGAAACATTCCATAAAAATTAACAGGAATTAATGGGAATAAACTGGAAATTTAGCTTATAGGCTTAGCCTATATGTAACTTATATTGCTTATAAGTAACATTCTGTGTTGTATTATTCAAACAATCTGCTTTCTTTGCCATATTTGACAGCTTAACTTTCCATGGAAAGTTCCTGGAAAGTTTCCAGACATTTTCCACTCCTTTGCAACCCTATTGACTATACACTTACAGTTAACTTGCTGTATTTCTGTCATAATTTTTCTTTAAGCAATATATTAGGGGTGTTGAAATCTTCATAAACTTGTGCCGTTTGCCTTCCCAGCCAGATCCAGGCCCACTAATAGTGACTGAGACAGTGACTTACTGTTGATTTCACATATTGTAATGGACATATTGTATCTGTCTCACAATCACTGGTGACATGATTAAGTCATTGGTTTTATTTTTTCTGTCCTGAGGTTTCAGTGCAGTGTAATCTAGCAGAGATGAGATTACTTGTGTTTTTTTAATTATTGTTTTTCTTTCCCCCCGGCAGTGTCTCTAATCGCCTTCACAGCCATGGCTCTACTGGCCTTCTTTGAGTTCTTTGTGTATCGGGACACCTGGATGAAGTATGACTACGAGGTGGACAAGGACTTCTCTAGGTATGCCGTTCCTCTGCTCTCACACGACTGCTGAGTTTTTTATGTTCTTAAGTCTTTATGTAGTGATCAAAAACACCACAGTAGGATTCTGTGCAGCAGTAGTTGTAGTGCCTGTTTTCATGGGATTTGGTTCCATCATGGAATTCAAGGGGGAAAATGCTCATCACAGTTTTGTCTTTAATCGGATTATAATTTACATCTTCAGAGACAATATACAGAATTCATCTCATGAGTGTCTCAGCTTAGCCCTTGTTTTCAAAGTGGTAACTGTCTTCCCTTTTTTTTTTTTTACAGCAAATTAAGAATAAATATTGATATTACAGTTGCTATGCGATGCCAGCGTAAGTGTTTAATTTTTTAATGTATTTCTGTACTGTCTGGATTGAGTCTTGAGGTCAATTCTTAAAGTCTTTTAAATAAGCAAAGTGATTTTGGGTGCATTTGCTTGTCATTGTACAGAAAGGCATATTTTCCACCTAGAGATGTGTTAAAAGACCCTTTTGCACATGGAATTACTGTGTTTGCATGGATGTATTGATGTTTTGTCTTGACTGAGCTGCCGTTCTTTTTGATTCAGATGTTGGGGCAGATGTGCTGGATTTAGCAGAGACCATGGTGGCATCAGATGGCCTTCAGTACGAGCCGGTGAGCGTTCTGTAAATCTTATGCTGAGTAGCTGATGTACAGTCTTTGCATTCAGCCTAAAGGCTCACTTATAGTAGAATCTACACTGTGGGCATGGCGTTCGTCTGGAGTAGCTGCGTACACTACGCTATCGCCTACATCAGAGGTGTCAAACTCCAGTCCTGGGGGGCCAGAGCCCTGTGTAGCTTAGTTCTTTCTCGGTTCCACCATAAATGATTCAGCTCAAGAGCTGTGTGGTAATTAGCACAAGGAGGTGAATCAGGTGTGTTAAATGAGGGGAAACCCAAAAATATGGACCTCCATGACTGGAGTTTGACGCCCCTGGCCTACATCGTAGCCTGATGCACATCCCCCCAGACATGTCACTACAGGTGTGGGGCTATACTGTGGGGTATATGGTGATGTCATACACGGTACTATAAATCAGTCACTAACGAAGTCGTTAGCCTATGAGTGACGTGCATGTATTTTATGTATAACATGCGCATGTGTTTGTGTTATCAGGTTATCTTCGAGCTCTCGCCTCAGCAGAGACTCTGGCACAGGTAAGGCATCATATTCTGCGCTACGTTTTTGTTCCCGTTGCTGCACTGTATCCTCGCTGCACTGTATCTTCGCTGCACTGTATCCTCACTGCCCAGCTGGTCGTCCCCACGGCTCGCCGTTTGTTTACTTTTCATGCCGCATGCTACTCTTGGGACGTTTTCGTTTTTTGCCTCTAACTGGGTCACTCGCTGAACCTTCCAGAACACGGATCCTCCCGGTTATTAGGCTTTCGCTGCAGCGCTGCTGAGCCCTGGGGGGAGGGGCCAGGGAGGGGGGGGGGGTATACTTTCAGGCTGTAATTGAAATCCACAAGCATGTGTTTGCTGTCTCCTCCCTCCCTCCTTCTCTCCCGCCACAGGACTCTGCTGCTGATACAGAGCAGGCTGAGGGAGGAGCACTCGCTTCAGGATGTCCTGTTCAAGAGCGTCTTGAAGGGATCCCCTACTGCCCTGCCCCCTCGGTTTGTCTGAGATCCCTTCACGTTTGGGGTTTTGAACCGTATCAAGACTAGAGGACTGAGAGGAGTCATGTGGAGTAACTGAGTAACTGATTTTATATGCATTTGCCCCCCCCCCTCATGTGGAGAATCTCCCCTATCTCACAATGTGCTCATGTGTCGTCTTATGCATTTAAGTTAAGGTCTGTTTTGGTGAGGGAGCCAAAATAGGTCATCATCTGAAAGGAAAGGAGGAGGATGTGGGCACTGCTCAGATGGGCTTTGAGGCCTGATCTCCATCTTATTCCCCCCACCCAGGGAGGACAGCCCCGATCAGCCGTTCAATGCGTGCAGGATACACGGGCATGTCTACGTCAACAAAGTGGCGGGAAACTTCCACATCACCGTGGGGAAGTGCGTTCTCCGCCTTGAATTCTGATGTGTCTCAGTTCATGTGCTCATTGACATCTCAGGTCAGGTTTTGCTACTTGAAACAAACCCTGGAATGACCTTTCTTTCCATATCTGCTGCTCTTTGACACTATAGTTCTCCTGCCCAATGTGCCTTTTCACATATACAGACATGTATACAGAACCTCACACAATTAAACCGCATGTATTTTTCCAAACTGTTTTACAAATATAATTACTACCCCCGATATGAACAGTTCAGGCCCCTTAAAGGATCTAGCTGTTGACCTCTAAGTTTCTGAATCTGCTGATGTTCATCTTAGAGCCCTTTTCCATTGCACCAGATACCATACATTTGATACTTTAGAAAAGTACCGAAAGTACAGTTCTTCAGGGTGTTGGTTTTCCAATGGCATAAAAACTGGAATTGGTGCTGAATTACATTACAACGCGAGTATTTAATGCTTTATAGATAGTTTTTAAATAGTTTTTTATTTCTTGTCATGCAATCCAGATCATCTTCTGGTTTTTCCGACCAGATCACAATTAAAGCTTGGGACTTTGCATTTGTCCACACATACAATATTATTACT